GAAGGCTCACTGCACACACGGTGTGCACACACGGTGTGCACTCACGGTGTGCACACACAGGAGTGTGTTTGTGTGTACCTCTCGGGGCCCCCGTGCACAGGAAGTCTCTCTGTGGATTTGTGTGTACATGTGATTGTGTTTTGTGAGGCACATGTGTCCATGTGTCCTCTGCCTGTACACGTGGGAGGGTGGGTGTCAGGAGAGGATGGCACAGGGTTAGCTGGGCCCTGGGTCCTGCCGAGGGGGCCGTGATGGCTTTCCCCAGGAAGGTTTCTGCAGTGGGAACACCATCTGCCCTTGCTCCGTGATCTCGGAAGTGCTGAGGTCGGCATTGTCTCCGGGGTTCCCATGGCAGGTGGGCACGGACCAGTCCAGCCTGTCTGGGGGCATGCGGCCTTGTGCACCAGGGCGGGCTTGTGGGTGGGAGGTGCTGGCTGTGGATGGGGTCAATGTGGACTTCCAGCCGGCTGCCCGCGCCTCCTTCTTTCCACTGCCTTGTGGTGGGACCTGGGAACCTTCCCCCACCCAGGAGAGAGAGCCACACCTGCCCTGAGCGAGTAGCACAGGTAGGCTCTCCCACTCCAGCCCACCTCCTCGTCTGAGCTTTGCTCTCTACCATGGACGGTGGAGAGCTAGGAGGCTGCCAAGGAGCCCGAGCCCAGAAGACATGCCTCACCTTCCTCCCTAGCCTTCTCTGGGCTCTGCTAGAGGCTGCTGAAGGGGAGCTTGAACTCAGGGCCCTAGTCCCCTTCCCTGTTGGGTGTGAAGCACTGAGGACCGCAGTCTGTTTTGAGCAGGTATGAAGAAAGTTTCTTAAGTGCTTCTGGGGGTCCCAAGGTCACCTCAGATGGGCTCAGCCTCAGCCTGTGCTTGGTGCCTGCAGCCAGGCCTGCCCGCCTGCCCTTCTTCTCCAAGCCTGAGATTCGGGGTTTACAGACTCAGAAGGACCCTCAAGGTCACCTGCCTTCCTCGTCACCCCGGCCTTCCTCAGACATTCAAGGTCATGCCTGATGGGCAGTCCTTCCCAGGTGTGAAGCTCATCAGACACATCCTCCAGGAAGTGCTGAGCCTCGCCGGTCCCCTCTGTGACCGAAGTCCCAGAAGCTCCTTTGTCTACTTCCTGCCGGAGCTCTGCTCTCGCACTCCAGATGGGTCTTTCTCACCTGCAGCCCCGCTCTCCTCCATGCCCCCGCCACGCTCCAGCCACTGGCCAAATGGCCACTACCCCAAGAAGATGCCCTTTATCAAGCTTCTCCTTAAGGGTGGAGGTCAGAGAGAGGTGTGGCCTGCAGAGCAGAGGAATAAAACCATGGGGTGTCCGGCCCTGCTGGCCCAGCTGCCCCTCCTTAATGCCTTGGCCGTCTGCCCCTCCAGCACTGGGCACACAGCTGCTCTGGGGACCGTAGCCTGCCATGGCTGGAGTCCAGAGATGTCTTCCCATTCTGGGCACTCCTAGCCAGGCCCTCTGCAGGAGCTTTGCCGGCTCCTTGCCATGATCACACACGCCAGAGCCAGGAGAGGCCCGGGGACTCCTCTGGCCACTGGTCCAAGATCTTGCTGGGGTCTGGGGCTGTTGGCTCCAAGCCCCCTGACCCCAAGCACTGTCCTGGGCCACCGTGCCCTTGGGCCCCTGCCAGGCCTCTGTACCCGGGCAGTGCCATTCTTTTGAGAATCCTGGAAGCCAGGGGGCTGTGCATTTGAGAGGCAGCTGCTCCTCCGTGGCTCTCCTCCCCTCCTCCTCACTTGATTTAACAAGTGCCGGGCAATCGTGTGGAGTTTCGTAAATACGAACATAACCATTGCGACAAAAACCAAAATAGAAAATTCCTGTGAAGATACAGAGGCTGCAACGGGCGCTTAGGAAGTTGGCGACAGCCTGACATTTATTCCTCTCAGCTCCCCTTGCAGGAACAAGACTATCAGTAATGAGCCACAGGAGCCACATCTCCACACGTGCAAGGCTGGCTAAGAGGAACGTGTGCTCCCCAGTGCAAGAGCCAGGGAGCAGTCCCAGGATGCACACTGGGTGTGTGTGGGGGGAGAGGCGAGGGGGGGCTGTGTCCTTCCCGGGACCAGCTTCTGCCTGTGACGCCCTCCCTGAGCACCACCTTTTCCAGTTGTATTTTTAAGAGCTGTCCCTGCAGAGAGGCCCAGCTACTATTTCTGTTTGTCTCTTTTCTGCAAGATGAGAGTAACACTCGTTTCTCTCAGGTTACCGAGAGAACTGGCGAGCGAACGGCATGAGACGATTCCTGCAAGATGCCTGCCTGGCACACAGCTACTGCTCAGTCCCTGGGCGGCGCTATTTTAGGATCCCACTGGCTTTTTCTCTCCACGCTCAGTCCTCCGCGGTTTGGTTTTCCGTAGTTAAATATGCACTTGCGTGATGGCTCTTGTGTCTTCCCATGATGGCCTAGAACCTTCCCTGACAGTCTTTGCGGCCAGATGGCCCTGTGTCCTGGACTCTGAGTTGAGCGTCTGGCACGCTGGTGTCATCACGTGGCCCAGGGTGGCTCTGCTTTGCCCTCATGTCAGCCAGCATCCCTGGTCCACCTCCTCTGCATCTGTGGAAGGGCTGCCTGTCTCCCCCGGCAGGCCCCGGTGCTGGGTTAAGAACAGGTGGGAAGTAGGACGAAGTAGGGTGCTTGTTGTCTCTTGACTCGGTGTGCTGGTTCGTGCCTGGAAGCTGACGGGTGGATCTTGACAGGGCCTGGATCTCTGTGCATAGTGAACTCCCTCCACACCCCCAGCGAGTCCGGCGAAGAGAAGCTGAGGACTGTGCCGGGTGTTGAGAGCCAGCTGTGCGCCTGCAGGCCTCTGCGCTTCCTGGCTCCAGGCAGGCTTCTGGGGTTTGCTCACGGAAGGCTCCAGGCCAGCGCTGATCCGCGGTCGCTGGTGCCAGCTCTGTCCTGTGCGTAGAGGCAAGTGGAGAAGGGACAGGGTGTGACACTCATGTGGGCAGGATCATGCAGGAACCCCTCACAGGCCTTTGACCCTTCACTCCTTGCAGGGGTGAGGCTAGGTATGGTTCAGGGCACGTGGCAAAGTGAGGCAGATGGGCGTGGGCTGCTCGTGCTGGGCGGCTGGCTGGAAAGGACACAGGCGTGCATGGTGTGTGGGCTGGGCCCTCTGGGTGATGGGCCTTCTCCGGGCAGCGGGGCCTGTCCCCGTGTAGCTGTGGGACGGCAGCGGGGACAGGGGAGCCAGGCTCAGCTTCAGATGCAGAAGCCACACTCCCTGCTCCCGGGACCCGGTACATCGCCACCCACCGCTTGTCACCACTTCCCTCCTCCGGAATGCTTGCGGGCACGTTGCCCGGGCAACCAGAATGCCAACGCGTTGCTATCCTTCAGTCTTCTCGGAGCACCTGCGAGGGCTGGCGGGCCCCACGCCTCGGGGGGCCCCGTGTGGCCGAGGAGCCCCTGAGGAGGAGTCGGGCCTTGACCGCCCAGCGTCAGCAAAGGATGGAGGAGTTGCGGAGGCCCTGAGAACGCTTACCCAGAGCCAGCCTAAAAATACCCACTGTGCGGTCTCCAGCATGCCCTGAGTGGGGGTACACACAGGGAAACTGAGGCCCAGAGTGGTTAAGTAGGTTGCCCAAGTTCCTCCAGCTCGGGAGTTACAGTGCCCAGACAAGAAGCCCCGACGCCGCGTGGTCCCTGGAGCTGGGTTTCAGGACCACCCTTCCTCCTGGAGGAGAGACGGCTACTGCTGTGTGACCCGCGGCAGGGGGCGGGAGGGAAGAGGGGGGAAGAGGGGTCTGGCATCAGGGCTCCCCGACTGGGGCTTCAGTGTTTAGGGTGGGGTAAGTCTTCAGGGCGGGGCCACCCGATCTCCAGGAATTCCCCAGCTTCTGTTGTTTCTCTCACTGGGTGTTGGTCATACCCTTGAATGGTACCAAGCCCATGTGTCCGCAGACACTGTAGCTGTCTCCTTGGGGACAGGGTTGTCCCGGGATGAAAGCCAGTGATGCGTCGGGATGATTGTTGTAAGTGCAGGACGCTGTCCCTCAGAGCCTTCTGCACAAGGGTGTGGCATGGCTGGTGGAGGCCCCTGGGCCCCGGGAGGCCCCACAGGTGGACACTGCCGACCAGGGTGCCCTGCACACCCCACAGGCACTGCCCTGGCTGAATGCAGCCACGTGGATCGTCCAAGAAGGAAAGTTCTAGACAGCTTAAAAAGTTGCGTCTGCTCCAGTTTCTCTAACAGGTGTTGGGACTCCCGAGTCCAGCATCTTCATACTCTAGGTCCTGGGCTTCGGGTCTGCGTCTGAGGCCAGCACGATGCTGCCCACGCCAGGTGCTTCCACGGTGGGTCTAAGAGGGCTGGGGAAAGACCTGCACGTACTAACGGGAGGCTGGCCCAGTGCAGATGCACCGGTCCACGTGATGTCCCAACAGAAAAGATGCTGCTGGTCCGTTACTCTGAGAGAGCTTGATCCCAGAACCCTGTGGGCGAGGTGGACGGACACCTCTCCCAGGGTGCCGGGGTGGGGAGTGCACTTTGGAGCAGGCTGGGTCAGCCTGTGGGCCTTCCTTTTCTGGGGTAGAGAACCAGTCACAGCAGTGCCAGGGGCCTGGCCTGGAGGAGGCCCCGTGGGCAGAGGAGAGGGGCTGTCTGTCCAGTGCTGTCCCCTGTGCCTTCTGGACATCCCGGGCTCTGACCTGTGCCTCCCGGACCTGGAAGATGCTTCCTGAGCCTCAGGCAGGGAGCCAGGGGGTGCCCTGCCACCCTGGGCTGGGTGTTGTGGGGACCCCGGGGTGTTGCCGACCCCCACGCTGGGGAAGGAGAGTGGCGCGGGCTCTTGGGGGGATCCGGGTGCTGGAGAACTCGGCTCTGGCATCCGCTCCCCCGCGAGTCAGACCCGGCGGCAGGCACACCTGACAGGTGAGGTGGGGGCCGCTAGAGATGAGAACCCTGGAGGTTCCTGAAAGGGAGGGCTGTTTTCGAGCCTTTTGAATCAGGAGCAGTGTGAGATTCCACTGTGACCGGACGCGACAATGACAGAAGCCACCAAAACCACCGTGGTGAATCAGGGCCTAACGCACCTTCGTGAGGAAGATGGAGCCAGCCCCTGCCTCCCAGGAGCGGGTGAGGGGCGCTCCCTTCCTGGGCTGGCTGGAGGGCTCCCGGCCAGGTCTCTGCCTGAGACTCGGAGGGGCTGCCTGTACCTTTCCTGGTGTTTAGCTAGGCGATCTGGGCCTGGCTGTCTCAGGGGAGCCTGGCTTGTTGTTGGCTGAAGGGAAGAACCGGCCTTGGTAGACAGCATCCTTCTTTCCCTCCCAGGGGTAGAAGCACCTGGAAACTTGAGCAGCGTGGGCTCCGAGGGGAAATTAGAGATAATGGAACCATTTCCGCCCCAGACGCAGAGATCTCGCCTCTCAGTAAACATCCCATTTCTCTTCTGGAGGAAAGCACATTTTCTCTGTTGGAGGTCAGGCAGGACTGGGAGGGAAAGGCCCGTTCCAGTCAGCTTCCCGTCACCATAACCAATACCAGAGGCCCTCTCTCTCATCACTCAGAGAGAGGAAAGGTTGGGTTTGGCTCGCTGTGTGGGAGATCTCAGTCTGTGATCAACGGTGGCCCCGGCGGTGCGTTGGAAGTGTGGTGGAATGTCTTGGCAGGGCAAAACTGCTTCCTTGGTGGTCAGAAAGCAGAAGAGGGGGGAGAGACTGAAGCCCCCAGTCCCCTTCCAAAACATCCTTTACCAGCCCGTCAGTCCTCCAGTGGACCTGATCTGCTTCAGCTTCCTCTCCCTCACCCCAGGTCCACCACGCTGAGGAGCAGCTACTCAAGATGGGGCCTCGGAGGACCCTAAGTTCCAAACCCACAGCAAGTGGGCCTCCCCTGGAGCTTTGCTCTGCCCCGAGGCCAGGTTGAGCCTGGCTGGCACTGTGCCCTCACCACAGAAGTGTGGCCATGCCACCAGCTCCTATTTGCAAAAAGCAGACTCCTCCTGCTCTTTCTCCTCCTGTTTCTCCTCCTCTCTTCCTGCTTGTCCTTCTCTTCCTCCTCTTCCTCTTCCTGTTCCTCCCCCTTCATTTTTTTGTGATGGTACTGGGGTTTGAACTCAGGGCCTACACACTGCTCCTTAGCTTTCTTGTTCAAGGCTGGTGCTCTACCACTTGAGCTTTTTCGTGGTTCCCTGGAGATAAGAGTTTCATGACTTTTCTGCCTGAGCTGGTTTTGAACTGTGATCCTCAGATCTAAGCCTCCTGGGTAACTAGGATTACAGGCATGAGCCTTGGCGCCTAGCTTCAGCTGCTTTCTTACAAGCAAAGGTGGGTCTGTGCATGCTTGAGTTCTAGGCCTCCCTCCCAGGCCTCCAGCCCCCCCCCCCCATCCCACCCCAGGAGAGATGCAAGGAGCAGGGTTTTGCCCTCCAAAGGCTGTCCTGTCGCCCCAACAGCACCTAGAATTCTGGAGGGAGTTGTTTTTATTGTTATTATCTTTAAGTACTTGTACAAAGAAGTTTCCAATCTACAAAACAGTATATGAGCTCAAAGCGTCTGACAACATTGTCACATCTCTCCTAACCCATCCATTCTCTCACTTTTTTTCTTTAATTGAGATTAGGTGATTATATAAATTTCACATATTTTGCAGTATTGTGGAATAGTGATACTCAGGTAAAGTCACAAACACATTTTAACCTTCACAAGGCAAATTGCCATTATCCTGGTCTATACAGTTTGTGAATTCCATGAGCTTTGACAGTACAAGTTATTTTTTCCACATCAGGTGATGCTTGCCTTTTTTTCCTTTTGCTTAGTGTAGGCTGTTCCCACTTCTTCTGTTCCTCCTCCTGGCTTCCTTCCATTGCATGCATATATCTACCATAGATATGGTCAAGCACATGGAGTCATTTAGCAATGATAGGACCAGAGGGGTGGCTGTCCTTTGTTTCTTGAGTCCTGTTACTTTGTCATATCTTCTTGTATTTTGGCTTTAGCATCCACATATCAGGGTGGAGGGAGGTTTTAAACAAAGGGACAGTCCTGCCTTCTCTCCACCCCCGGTTGGGACAGGCAACACGCCAGGCTGCCTGTGCTCACTCCTGCATGCCCTGGCTGTCAGCAGTCTGTGGGCGTGTCTTGAAGAGTTCACAGAAAGTGGGTGAGCCCAAGGATGTGCCTTGTGCTAGTGACCAGCTGCCCAGCATGGCAGCGGGGGGCCCCGCCCAGGGGTGACCCCTGCAGGCAAGCCTCCTCCAGGTGATGGCGGTGGCGTCCACCACACTGTGGAGAGCAGGTGACCTGGATGGGAGGGGACCCGAGGGCACTGCACCCCCAGCCCTGGACCCTCATCAAATCACAAAGCTGGATGGAGATGCAGCTACGGATTCCCTGCCCAGTGCTGCTCAACCCATCCAGGCCGTCACAGTCCAAAGCATCAGAGGAGCTCCCAGCAGAGCAGAGCCTGAGGAGACCAGGGCTGCCCAGGACGGGACACTTCGTCCCGGGTGGGATCTCAGGCACAAACTAGCGAGCTCCGAATAAAGAATGGAGTTTGGTTAACAGCCACCTGCGCCGGCCCCTCTCCCTGAGTGTGACAGCTGAGCCAGTGAGGCGTGGAGTGACGTGCAGGAGGGAAAGCGGGGAGGAGAGTCCCAGGAACGAACTGCACTCCTGCAGCTTCTGTGTCAGTCTAAAAGCGTTCCAAAGGGGAGTCAAGGCGCAGCCCGAAAGCGACTGAACGTGGAGCTAGGGGCTGGGGTGCAACTCCGCCGAGCCCCTCCTCATCAGGCGAGGGGCTCACACAAGGCCAACTGGGCAACTCGTGGCCCCGATCAAACCTTTCTGGGGTCCTGTTAGCCGTGTCCTGTGGGTTGTTGGTTCCAGACACACGGGGCTTAGAATGGGAGGAGACCTCAGACCAAACGCTCCGGCTGTGAGATGGAAAGACGGCGTATCGGAAGTGACAGGCCCAGGCTCAGGCTCACCTCTCCAGCACACAGCTTTGTCCTCTCGGGGTTCAGAGGCAGGGGCCATGGGACAGGTGCAGATGTTGGCCTGGGGTCTGCAGCTGGTCTGGGGCGGACGGCCCAGCTGTCTGGCAGTTCTTCAGTCCTGTCCCATCCTAAGATTTCAGGATGGCCTTGGACTCCCAAGGTCTCCACCAGGCCCCACTCCCTCTGCCTCAGTGTCCCAACGAGTCAGGGACCAGCAGTTTCCAGAAGCTCATGTTGCCAACCTCAGAGATAAAGAGGTATCCGTGCCCCCTAAAGACAGTGACTTTTCTCCTGTGAGGAAAGTCTACAGAAGGCAATGAGTCTCAACCCACCCGATCTTATTAAACCAGGACGCCTATAATCCTAGCTATTCAGGAGGCTGAGATCTGAGGATCATGGTTCAGAGCCAGTCCTATGGCTCAAGTGGTAGAGTGCTAACCTTGAGCACAAAAGCTCAGTGACAGAACCCAGGCCCTGAGTTCAAGTCCCAGGACACAGCACAAAAATAAATGATCTCAATAAAAAAAGGGACAAAGGAGAGTATCAAGAAGCTGCCATAATAAGGGGAGGTGGCACAATATTTACTCTCTGCTAGCATTTGAAAAAGGTCCCTGGAGACATTCGAATGACAGTGTCCAGGCCTGTCCTGGTGGGGAGGGGTAGACGTGGGTCAAGCGGGGGGGGGGGGGGTGAGCCCTCAGGGAGCCTGGGTACAATGCGGAGGACGCTGGAATTCTCCACTGTGCATTCAGGCCTGCCTGCCGCTCCGAGGGTCAGCTCAGGCCTTCCCTCCTTCCCACCCATCACACTCTAGGATTAGGCGTGGAGACCCCCTCATCAGCCACCCCCAGTCCCCTTGCATACCCCCTGCTCTGTCTAGTTCCCTTCATTTTGTTAGAGGTGTAATCTACATGTCATTAAACTTACTTTTTGGAAGTGCCTGGCTCAGTGGCTTTACGGTTTTATAAGGCGCACAGTCAATTCTAGAATATTCCATCACCCCCAAAGGAACCCCATCCCCAGCAAGCAACCACCCCCTCCCCTCCCCTCCCCGAGCTCCGTAGACAGCCATCTCTGTCTCTACGGAGCTCTCTCTCTCCTGACCCTTCTTGGGATGGCCAGGTCACTCGCAGCCCTGCCTGAACCTGCTCGTTTCGTGTCACCCTTCAAGGCTCCTCCTACCGTCACGCGGTCCCTGCTTCCTGCCTTAGCCTGGCCCGGCAGTGCCCGTCTGAGCATGTGCGGGCACTGCTTGGCTTGTGGGCACTCTGGGCAGCTGGGTGGTGCTTCGTGGACACTGGTGTGCCGGCTTTGGTTGGATCTTAAGAGTAGGATCTCATCTCAGGATCTCTGTCAGTGCTCGCTGCTTGTAAGGAATTAACTGTCCCCTCACAGATGTGGGCCTGTTCACCTACCTCCCCCACCCCCACAATGCACCAGGATTCCCCTCTCTGCCAGTCCTGCTGCCCTGGGGGTCGGGGGAGGGTCTGCCTTCCTGTCCTGTAGCTGGGTTTGTGGGTATCATTGGTGGCCTGTGGGTGCCCCAGAGTGTGGGGGCATGGGTGCCAGCTCTGCCCGGCCTCCTGGGTAGCACGTCACCCTCCAGCTCTAGTGATGACAGTGGTGAGCAGTGCACACAGGCCTTGCCTCCATCTTGGCAGATGGCTGTAGCACGATGGCGGCTTCCTGGGGCAAGGCCCATCCAGGAGGTCTGGGCCTTTGTTGTGGAGTGGCAGTGTCTTGTACGAGTCCTTGGAGATACAACCAAAGCTTCCAAAGCTTCCAGCCAGGAAGGCCCAGAGTGACTCAGAGTCAGGAAGTCCAGCGAGCCCAGGGGCCTGGCCAGGCCTGAAGGAAGGGCCAGGCGTCACTCAGGCACTGCCCGACCACATCCTCCTTCCCAGGACCCCGCGGGACAGAGTCAGTCCTGACCATCTTGAGGGAGCTGCTGTCCTCTACGGCCCGTGTTTCCTGGCTCCCAAGTGTGTGTGTATGTGGGGGGGGGTTGCTGGGTTCCCACCCACCCACCTCCCTCTTTTCTCTGAACCCCTTCAATGAAGGGGAGAAACTGGACTGAAGGAGAGAAGGGAGCTGCTTCCTCTGCCATGCTGGGTTTTCTGCATAACAGCTGGGAGTCTTGGAAATGAGGGGGTTTCTATGGTAACCAATTACAGCCCATGATTGGTGAAAAATCACAGAAATATCCTGTGTGTGAAGTTATGCTGGGGAGGCAGGCCCGGGCTTAGGTGCTGGGGTTTTAATTTCCTGGGGCAATATTTCACCCGGCACTGCGGGCAGGCGGGAGCGTTTGCCTCCCATTTCCTGTCCTTCAGCCTGCTCGCTGGGGCCTGCAGGGACCTGGGGAGATTGATGGGGCCTGGAATAGGTCTGGGAAGCCTAGAGGGGCCTGTTAGGGCCTGATGGGGCTCTGGTGGGGTCTAGGGACCTGGAGGTATGTGCTGAGACCTCACGGCACGTGGTGGGACCTAGAGGGGTTTACAGTGGCTTGGGGAGGTCTTAGTGAGGCCTGCAAAAGCCTGACAGGACTCAGGAGTCCTAGGGAGTCCTGGAGGAAGGGCTTGGATAGGCCCAGTGTGGCTTAGGGAGGCCTGGTGGGGTCTATAGGGCACTACTGAGCCCCGGTGAGACCCTGTACCTTGTACCTGCCCCAAACTCCTCATTCCCCTGAGGCTGGAGTCCTGTCCAGCCATGCAGCCAGGGGGACACACCCAAGGTGCTCAGCCATGCTCTGTCACCAGTGGCTGCAGAAGTGCCAGTCCTGGGGAAGGGGGGTGCTCAGGGAGCCTCTGCTGACCTAGATTTCTGTGTGCAGTGACAGCGGCCCTGCCCCTCACCAACCTGTTTGTGCAGGGAAATTTCACAGGGGCAGTGCCGGCGTGGAGGCACTCAATGAGCGCTGCCTAATCTCCGCAGCAGAGCACTTTCGTTCTGATTAACCTGGGCCGTATTATTCGGGGACTGGCCCTTTTTGGTAATTAGCGCTCGTTAACCAGAGTTCCTTCCCTCGGCTGTCTGGAGGACTCCTGGGAGCTGTCTCGTTCCCACGTGTTAGCGAGAGTCCACCCAGTCACGTGGCCAAGGCACACTCGGACACACTTGCATGCACACACATAGGCTAACACACGTGTACATCCAGACCTGTGGGGGTGTACGCACACTCATGAGCGTGCACAACCAGCTCCCAGCAATGTTCACAGACACACTGGGGCGTGCCTGCACTGTCTCTCACCCTGAGGGACACTCATTCATGTTTGTCGTCACGCCCACCGTGCTGACACACTCGGGCTCCTATTCACTGATGCACGGACTCACCCAGTCACGCCAACACATTCGTGTGCCCTCACAGGGTCACACTCACATGCCCCTCACCTGCACACAGTGGCGCAGCGCATGCACACCGACGCATCCTTTGTAGAGACACAAGACTCTGTAAGGAAACTGCTGAATGCGGAGCTCGGCCCGCTGGCCCAGCTGTTCAGGCTCGCGCGCAGCACCCCTACCTCCTGCCCACCCCCACGCCAGCAGCTGTGGAAGCTCCAGATTCAATTTAACTTTCAGACAGGGGGTTGGTGACGAAAGCTGACTTTGAGTGGCACCTCTAATCAGCCTTCAATTACCCGTGCCTGTGAAGAGGGAGCGTGGGTTGCGCCCTCCAAGCCCCGCTGTGGTCTCTGCGCCGTGCTTCGGATGGGCACGTGATGCTCCAGGGTCCAGTGGTGGAAAGGAAACTCGGGCACAGGGACCAGGATGCTGGCAGGATCCAGGCTAGGGGTCTGGCCTGTAGGCCTCAGACACTTTGGTCTCCTCGGGCTGTGAATTCTCCTGTCATGGCCTCCTGGGAGGCAGCTCTGCCTCCCACCTGGTTTTGTGGTTGGGCCTGTCTCAGCCCTCCTTGAGCTGATGGGGGCAGAGGCTGGGGTGGCAAAGGCACACCGCCAGAGGTAAACAGTGGGAGTGGAAATGTCCACAGAACAAACAATTGACCATTGGCAAACTTGAGCTTATGTGAGATCTCACTACTCCGCCATGCAGAAGGAAGGCACCCAGCCTGCTCTGATGTGTGGGATCTGAGGAAGAGGAGGAGGAGGCCGGTGACTTCGAAGGGGCCAGGCTGGCCTGTGTCCTCCAGGGCTGTGCCTCAGGGGGCACTGGAGGCCCTGGAGCCCCTGTCCCTCGGGACCTCAGGAGGGTCCACAGGCCTCATTGTCACTGCCACTATGTCTGCTTGGTGTCCTTATGGGCCAGGTCTTCCAGGACATTCTGGCAAGGCTGGCCCTGGGATCGTTCTGAGGATGGGACCTCCCTCCTCACTGAAGGGGGCTTTGGTGAACAAGGGTTGGGGCTCAGGCCTCCGACCCGCGGTGGGCTCTGTCCTTGGTGCTGGAGAGGAAGTGGCATCTGAGCCCCTGTGGGAAGGGTGTGGGTTTCTCCTTGGAGGTTAAGATGAGGTCTTTCTACAGAAGAGTTTCCTGGCATGGGGGGAGCAGATGCCTCCCCAGGGAGGGGTCCCTCTCCCTGCTCCCTGCTTCCCACTGACCTCTCCTCTCTCTCTCTCCCTGGCAGCTCCATGTCTATCCGTTGGCCCGGCCGCTCCCTCGGAAGCCATGCTTGGATACTGATAGCCATGATGCAGCTCGCTGTGGATTTTCCATCCTGTGAGTCCTTGGGTCCTGGCCCCGAGTTCCGGCTCCTGCCACGGCCCCCACAGCGGCCCCCACGGCTCTGGAACCTGCGAAGCGGGCAGCCGGCCCGGATCCCCACGCCCGTGTGGAGCCCACGGGCAACCCGCACAGAACGGGCCCACGGACAGATGCAGACGCCTCGTGTCCGGCGGGCCCACAGGCCTCGGGACCAAGTGGCCATCCTTGTGCCCAAAGCGGGTCTTTCTAAGCCCCCAGCTGCTGCCAAATCCAGCCCTTCTCTGGCCTCCACATCCTCCTCCTCCTCTTCCTCCTCCTCTACCATGGCTGGTGGGGCGGCTGAGCAGCAGAGCCTCCTGCGGCGGGGCCGGCGGCACATACAGGACGTGGCATTCAACAGCTTTGACTTCAGAGGCAGCAGGCCCACCACAGAGACTGAGTTCATCGCCTGGGGCCCCACAGGGGACGAGGAGGCCCCAGAGTCCAACACGTTTCCGGGCTTATTTGGCCCCACCACCATCTCCACCTTACAGACACGGAAGACAACTGTGGGTACCACCACCACCACCACGGCCTCCACCACCACCACGGCTACTGCCGTGACGCTGCAGACTAAGGGGGTCACGGAGTCCCTGGGTCCCCGGAGAAAGATCCCTGTTGGGGTTAGCACAACGGAGCCTTCCACCAGTCCCAGCAGCAACGGGAAAGACAGCAAGCCCCCAAGGATTCTGGGGGAGACCTCAGGTAGGTGCCTCTCCCAGGGTTCCTGTCTGGAGGGGGCTTTCAGGGTATGGTGCGGGTCAGGAGGGACACCAAGCCTCTCCAGGGTGAAGACTGAAGGAGGGGCAAGGTATCGTGTTGTGCAGGTGCGCGCTCCTGTGTCGGTAAATTTGGGAATAAGGTGGATGCAAGGAGGGTGTGCTGCCCCAACTTCACATCCACTTGGAAGTGGATGCTGCATTTCCATCCTGGGCCTCTGCGAACCCCAATCTACCCACAGCCACGTGTCCTGGAACCTTAGAACTTGGTCTCCAGGGACCAGTACAGCTGACCCTCCAAGGGTGTGAACCCTAGAGGGCAGGGGGAGCATGGTCCAGGGTTAGGAATGGCCTTCGGTACCAGGAATGGCCAATGCCAGTCAGAGCAGAAACTGCCATCATTGTGAGCTGAAGCTTTGTAACAGGGCTGCTGCAGTACGGTGGAGGGGAGGGAGGAGGGAGAGGGGAGGAAGGGGATGGGATGGCCAGAGGTGAAGCCGGAACACAGGGCATTGGTTCTTCTAGGTTGCCGTCCTCCATGCATGTGGACACCGCAGCTCCTTGGCTTGAGCCATGTCTGTCCCTGCTGCTCTGCTTGTCTTCTTTCTCCCTTCTTTACCCTCTAGTTGCTTTACCAAGATTAACCTTGGCAGCATCCCAGGCCAGAGCGGCCCCTGCACCAGGAATAGCCCCCAGCCAGGTCTCCTTTCCCCCTGGCCTGGCGTCCTTGGCCTCTCTTGACAGGCTGGGGTTCACAGTGACTCAGAAGTTCACACATGGACCCTGGTAATAGCACATACCAGACAAAAGTGCCATCTGCTATTTCCTAAGGGAGGGAAGGCATTCAAGGGTGTAGATACATGGGGATGGTGGTATGGTCAGCCTCCCTGAAGCTCACATGGGTTTCTTCTGAACCAAAGGAGGAAGGGCCTGAAGGACATTTGGCTCAGTTCCTGGAGTCTGGTTCAGGAGATTGCTGTGCCTCCTCTTACCTTGGCAGACAAGGCTTCATGGGTGGACTGTGTTCATATTTCAGTCCTTGCTTTCCTTCCTTATTTCCTCCCTCTCTCCTCCTTCCCTTCTTCTCTCTCCTCTCTCATTCCCTTTCTCCCTCCCTCCCTTCGTCCTTTCTCCCTCCCTTCCTCTCTACCTCCCTTTATCCTTCCTTTTCCCTCCCTACCTTCCTTTTCTTCCTTCCTCCCTCCTTCTCTGCTTGTCTGCCTTCCTTCCTTCCCTTCCTCCTTCCCTTGCTCATTCCCTCCCTCCCTCCTTCCTTCCCTCCCTCTCTCCCTCCCTCACTCACTCTAGACAGGAGAACCTGCTGTTTCTTCTTGGATCCTCACTCTTCAGCAGTTTGTCTATGTGAACAGAGCCTGAGAGGCCTGCTTAGGCATAGGTCTGGCCAGGCTGGGAGCTGAGCTTGGAGGCTCCCAGGGAGAGGGCCTGGGGCCTTCCTAGGCCTAGGGCTGGTCAGGTTGGGGGCTGAGCTTGGGGGCTCCCAGGGAGAGGGTCTGGGGCCTGCCTAGGCTTGTGCCCATGCATCCTCCTTCAGGGATCTAGAGATGCTCAGGGATGCCCAAGGGTCACCACCTTGGTGCTAGGTACCTACAAGTGCTTTACAAAGCTCTGGTTTTCACCTCAATAAACTCAGAAGCCATCATCATAACAGAACTCTCTGTCACATCTTATGTAGACACAGATGAGAAAACAAGCTCCCATTTATTCCAAATTGCATTTGTTATTACTAAAGTTAAGTGCTGGGGACAGCATCATAAGGCTTAGCAAATTAATTCACAGTACACTGGATGTTGCTAATCCAACATGACAGATGCTTATCTCACAGAAGATTTATGGCTCCTTGTAATCTGGTGCTCGATTGATTTGTTTAGCAAAACAAATTTAAAGTAAGGAAAATATGGGTGTTTGTTACTTAGGCAGGGACTTGTGAATTCTGGGAAATGACACTGGCTTAGGAGGAAAGAGAAGGCCATTGGTGGCAGCTTCCTTGGGGGCTGAGAGGCACTGCTCTGTCTCCAGGACAAGGCCAAGGGAGGAGAGGGAATTCTGGGATGGCTTTCCTGATCAGGTTCACTATAGCCCAGCTGGCACTATCTAAGTGTATTATATACCCAAGCAGGAGCAATTCAAGCTACACCCTTGGAAGAACTGCCTGGAGGTGTAGGAAGTGAGTTATTTTCCTGGGATACTTAAGGCCAGGCTTGTGTGAGTTTCTGGATGTGGATGGGAGAGGTCAAGAAGGAATCCTGGCCTCCCTGTGTTCCTCAGCTTGTGTCAGACTCAGGCATAAGCTCCTGGCACGATGATCAGGCAGGGTCCCAGACAGCAAGAGCAGTCTCCAGGATGCCAGAGTTTGTTCTGGGGAGCTGTGTTTAGAGGCCACAGGCAGCCTGTGCCGGAGGCTGGGGTCCAGGTATGCATCTGAGCCCCTCTGTCCATGCTGTGTGCCCCTGGGAAAGGTCTCTTCTCTCCTGATGTCTTCTTCTTCACCTGTGAGCTGAAAGCTTGAAATTCGTTCTCCTAGACCACTGCCGAGAGGAATTAGCATTAACTTCCCCAACAGTTCCCCTGATTGGCACTTGTTTTTATACCCAGCAAGAGTGGCTGCTACAAGAAAAGTAAGAGTAGAAAGGTCGACTTTCAGCAGTCCAATTGACTTTACTCAAGAAGAAATGGAATGAGAGCTGAGTCTCCTTCAGCCCAGTATGACACGCATCCCTTACAGCTAGGGTCCCACTAAATACTAGGCAGACAAAGTGGAGTTGTGTGTTACTTTAAGCAGTCTCAAGGTGTCAACAGCATCTGTGTTCACCAGGGGTGTCAGCCTCAGAAGTGGCCTTGGTCTTAGGCTCTCTTCCCAAGACCACCGGGTGCATTTGTTCAGGGGGAGAGGAGGGGAGAAGATTCAGTGGGTCATCAGCAAGCACAGTTCTAGGATGTGGCTGTTGGAACGGTGAGTGCTTCCACTTCAAGCCATCTTCCATCAGCTACGAGGACAGGGTTGCTGGTGGCACAACCGTCTACCAGGGACTGGGAGTGCTGTCACGTCAGACTCACCCACTCCCTGCCTGAGGGCACCCAAAAACCTGGAAGAAGGGTGTTAGGAAGTGACGCAAGCTGTCACTGAGTCAGATCTGTGGTCTGAAGAGGGTTCTTCAGGGCCAGGTTGGGAACTGAGTTTTGTCTTTTTGCTTCTGTGGAAAATGATGTAGGAAATGCAAGTTACACTGCTCCAATCTATCTGTAGTAAGGCATTTCTGGGCTCAGAAATGGTAGGGCATAGTGTTTTAGGGTGCTCTGAAATCCCTAGGGACCTATGGTTATGTGGAATACCTACCTAGTAGGAATACGACAGGCGGAATAACTCAGAGATCTTCCTGAATTTTAGGTTAATGATGGAAGACTCTACTTGCTTGCTTATTTGCTTATTTATTTATTTGATGCCAATTTGGGGCTTAAACTTAAGGCCTAGATGATATATCTGACCTGTTTCATTCAAGGGTGTCACTCTACTGCTCAAGCCACAGCTCCACTTTGAGATTTCTTGGTAAATAATTGGAGATAAGAGTCTTACAGACTTTCCTGCCTGAACTGTCTTTGAACCATGATCCTTAGATCTCAGCCTCCTGAGTAGCTGGGATAATGGGCATGAGCCATCGGTACCTGGCAAGAATCTTCAATCTCTGGATTCCCTTGATGTTAGCCATATGAACCTGGACAGCCTGCCTGACCCCTTTGTGCCACAGCGAGGATGTTCGGTGTCTCTTAACGTTGTTGTATGCTGAAAGGAGAAGGAGCACACCATGTGGTCATGGCCTGGCACGTAATTGCTCAGTATGTGTTTGTTGCTGTTAATGTGAGGGTGACGATGGTAACATGATCATGATGATGGTGACGGTGATGGTGATGATGATGGTAGTGAGCCTGGCAATAATGGTGATGATTTTGGTAACAATATGATAATAATGATGATGACCATGATGATGATGATATCAATGTTAATAATAATGGTTATGATGATTGTGATGTGGTACTAGCAAGGATGGTGATGATAAAGATGATCATACAGGCGATGATGGTCACGATGGTGATGAGGATGATGATGATGATGATGGTCATAGTGGTAGTGATGGTGGTGATGGTAAAGCATGATCATGGTAATAGTAATGATGCTGTCAGTGGTGATGTTGGTGGTGATGATAATGATGATGGTCATGGTTACGATGATAGCAATGCGGCAGGGATGACCATGATGTTTTGATTGCTGTCACTGGCTTATTTGCTGCTGCCAGCTCTGGGAATCATCCGATGAAGTCCTGAGCCCTTGTTCCTGACCTTGGTGCTCTGTACAGAGGTAGAGATGGCTCTCACCAGGAGCTGCCTGAGATGGAAAATCACCTGGTGTAGAGGGTTAGAGATCCATCCTCCCATAGGTGGCAGAGCAAGGACGTGGGGCGGGTCAGAAGTTCGCCTGAGGTTGAGCGAGCAGGCTTCCCACAGCGCGTCCTGTGACAGCCCTCTCGCTGATCAGGCTCAGAATCTAGAATTACAGAGTCTCCCGGGAGAAAAGCAGAAAGTTATTTCCTGAGCTTTGATCTTAAGAACTCATCAAGAGCCAGCGGCTCTGGGCTGCTGCATGTGTCACCTCAGAATGCCTGGCACACGGGTGCCTGGTGTACGATCAGTGCTCAGGGGAGGCCCCTGACCATGGGAGGTGGCATTTGGCCCTGAGACTCCCAAGCACGTTCTCCAGATGCCCGCACCTGGGACTCCTGGGATGGTGCCCTTGCCACAGGAAGGCGGCCAGGCCTGCAGGCCCCATCTTGTCAGTGAAGAGTCTTCTCCGTTGGCTCAGTCACTGCTTGTGACATCCGGCAGTCCAGGATGTGATGGCTCACTTGTCACTTGAGTCTTGCCTTGTAATTTTCACGTGACAGCTCACTCATGCGTTTCCACGGTGACTTCCAC